TATGTGTCAATCACTTGATTTTGATAAGTGTAACCCCCTTAATGAATATTCATGAATATGATGATTGTGATCACTATCCTTGAGGGAGTGATCAATTATCATTACAGTCAGGGAGATTTCCAAAGATGGAATTTCTAAATACTGTAATGATCAACGTTCTAGAAATTTGATGGATTATATATGAAATGAATCATGTGATTTTTCAGCCAATAGAATAATTTTGATTTAAAGAAAAAAAATTTATCATTTTTTATTAATGACCAAACAATATAATTACACTTGTATCCTTTTGATTTATGAAAACAAAATAAAAATTTATTTCTCTCTAAGAGAGAGAGAGAGAGAGAGAGAGAGAGAAAGAAAGAAAGTGAGTGAGAAAGAGAGAAAGAGAAAGAGAAAGCAGATCAAGTCTCTGGGTTGACAAAAATGAGAATTGTATTTAATATGCGTGGTTAAATAATCTCTTCTATTTCTTTGTGAAGGTCTTTAACTTGCTGCAAAATCAACAATAATTCATCTTTCTTTTTCGTTGCTAATCCTTTGAACTGTGGGCAATTTGTTTCATTCAACAACTCAATCAATGATTGGATTATCAATATCAATTCCTTGTTTGACATTGAGCTTTCTGCTGTTTGCTTTTCTTCTTCATCAACAGTAACTGGAACAAGGTGAGTAATTCCAGATGATTTTGTTGAGCCTAGTAGTTTTTCTTTGATATAATCTGTTCTACGAGCTCAAGCTAAGGAGGTGAATGATTTCATTGCCTCACTTAATCTATTTCCCCATCCAAACTCTCAAAAATAAATTTAGATTTAATCGGATTTAAATAGTCTTTCTTCCTTAATTCTATACAAAAACGTTGTGCTTCCTTTTGAAAATCTGGACGTGAACAAGGACCTGTACTTTCTTGATCCCCATATCCAATTGTGGTGAACATTTTTTTTCAAAGCTGTACCTAAGAATCATATTAAAAAAATTACTCTGTAATAACAATAATTTACTACTAACCTTCATAAATTTAATGGAATTTCTAGCAGCAATCACCCAATGTTTATGTGTTGGAACAGGCAGTACAATTGCTTTTAGTGTTTTGTTTACCTCTTCAAGTATAGCATCTAAGCCCTGGTGTTGAGATATCCATCCAGACCTAGACACAATAGAATTTTGTTCAATGATCTGACAAACTTCAGGATGAAGATGTAATAGTTGCTCTTCATCAGCAACTTCAATTGATTGATAAATAGGATGTCTTCTTGCTGACCAAATTGGAGCAAAAATCCTTCGTACCGCTGCTTTAAGTAGAGGTTGGTTATATCTTATACTGGTGCAGTAATTGACTATAGCTTGTAGATACCAAAAGATATATATTTATTAGTATTTATTTTATTTTATATTCTTCAATTACTAATAATTTACCCGTTCAAATTTTAATTTATATAGTTCATCATTTTGATTCTTAGCCCAATCAAGATATCCTTCAACAGAAGCATCAGAAACTGTAGTAACATATGGCCATACCAATTCCATTAAAAAAAAGAGAAATTTATAAATAATAAACATAACAATAACTATTTAATGATTGATAAAATGTTTATTTTTGTAAAACTTGCTTTGCAAGCTTCATAGATCTTGACTTTAACACTTACTTCAATCACTCCTATACAAACTATTGAATAATTAATAAAAATGTTCGTTAGTATATTTTGCAATCTTCAAAGTTAATTAAATTCTGGTAAGTATTGAATTCACCAATAAACAGTTGTCCACACTTCTGTTCCAGCTTTCGAAAATTGTTGTATTTCTTGATATTTTCTGGATTTGCCATAAATACCTCATGGGCTTCTATTTCATTTTTTACAGCATTAGCATGTTTTACTTTCATGACTTCTTCCTGCTCATGTAACTGATCTCTTATAATGAATAATTCTGTTCTAAGGTTGAAAATTTGTAATTTTGAGTAAAGATTTATTAATAAGTGGAATCAATTCTTGAGGATAACTCAGGATCAATTTTTGAGAATAACATATCGTGTACCATTCACTTAAAAACCACTTCAAGCAGTCGTATGTAATTTCGTTACGACTTTGATAAAGTTTATTTCTGGCCTCTAATCTCCATAATTTGCCAACACGGGTTACTCTAACCAATGCTGTTGTAGGAAGGTATTTTCAAGAATTTCGGGAACTAGTGGGTTACTCATTTTTTATTATTATTAGTCGAATTAATTCAATTACAAATTTTGGTCAAGTATCCTACAAAGTATTGGTATGTTTAATTACGGATTTTGATCATGTGAAAATTTGGTACAAAGAGTGAGTCAAAGATGGTGCAAGTTCGTCCTTGTACCAAGAAAGTATTGTATTTGAGGTTCTGAAAGATAAATTAATGCATTTTGGATAGAAAAGTAGATTGGTACAAGGAGGCAAAGGAAAGAATCGAAAAAGTTATTTTTACAGGAGGAAAATATAATTTTATGAAAAAGCTCTTTGTACCATTGTACCAATAGTTGTATCGTATCGATTTTGATGTTATTTTAGTATTTTATTACGTTTTTGATATATTTGATATTTATTTTTGGTACAAATAGTGGTACAAAGATGGTGCTAATATGGTACTAAGAGATAATTGATATGTGAACTCTTGTGTATAGAGGAACGAAAATTTTTTATTTTCGTTTCCACTAGCCGAAGACGAATGTGTCTTGACGCAAATTTTCTGATAATCAAATGTTCATATCGAATTGTTTTCCAAATCGTCTGGGCATCGTTTTCCATCTCATCTTCAATGGTATGCTGCCTTAACATCATCTTATGATTATATATTAATTAGTAATGATTATACAAAAATTGAATACATCTAATCGTTTATTATAAAATCTTGTAATAACACAAGAGACAGACAAGTTCTGCTCCATCCCGCTTTGATTTCAACAGTACATTTTTTTATAAAATAAAAGACAAAACAAAAAAAAAATCGTGTACCTCTAATTGTCAATAAACAACACCTTGTCTTCTTTAGGAAAACCATATCAGACAACATTCACATTTCCTCATCTTGCTTGAACTTCTGTCTAAAAATAAACAAAAGAAAAAAACAAGATACACGAGGCTCTACGAAAGGGTGAGTGTTATCATTATTTTAAAAAGAATAGTGGTAGCAGTTATTGCAGTTTATTTAAAAAAAAAAGAATAGTGCGATTACTTTGACTTGTTGTCACTCCAGTTATTTGAGAATAATGGTAGTTTATATGTCCAGTTGCTGATAAGATTAAAATCACGTTTATTTTTTTTAGAACAAAAAGAACCCCCACTTGAAACGTTTCCATACAAATAAAATCATTTTATACAACACCAAAATAATAATTATTTTAGAATTTAAAAAATAAAATAAATACTTCAACAAGGACTATGAGTAGATTGTTGATAGATGGTAATATAATTAATTTATTTTGTCATAAAAGTTTTTATTAGAAATGGATATTTTATTTTTAAGAGGCTTTCGTGTTTAATCATAATATAAAAAAATCATAATCAAGTTTATTAGACGAAATTGAGAAAATATATAAATGCGGTAAATAATATTAATATTAAATTTGATATATTTTTTCCATAGAAACCAAATCAGGTGAAATCTATAAAACCCCGAGTACGATTAGGATTAATAATCAATTTTAATTGACAGTTATTCAGAACGTCAAAAGTTATAGCTGAAGATTTGTAATTGTTATTTTTAATTTACTAATATATAATTATAAATTATAAGTAAAATTCATTAACTGTCAACTTATTTGCGCGTGGTTTAATCAAAATTAGCTTATTGAAGTTTCATTTGAATTTTTTCAAGTCTAATTTCATTAAATAAAGCAAAATATATGGTATAATTTTTTAGCCGTTTAACAATGGTTTGTCAGTAAACTTAACAAGCACATCATGGTAATTATATTTTATGAATGTATGTGTATTTTCGTCAAAATTATAAAATGATTTTTTTTATATGTACATTGTGTAGGGAACCTTCTATGAAAGAAAAAATGAGAACAGAAAACTGAAATACCAGGAGAAACAAAACATCCAAATTTTGCTTTGTCGTAAAATCTGGAAAGTAAAAGATGTTAATATATAGCACTCCATGACATTGCCTTTTTTTAATAATTTTATGGTTTGTCACGCACAATTCCATAGAAAATTGATATTTGCCACGGAGTGCTATCTTTCCAGACTTTGTGGTAATAAATAATTTTGGTCATGCGGGTTCTCCTGATTTTGATGACCCTGATAAATATAATTATGACGAGTTGAAGCTATCACACCATTTAGAATCCTTCAATTTCATTTTTGGGAGAGAAAAGTATCTTCAAGTGATTTTATTTTCAGAAATCTAATAGTAAAGATGCTGATAATATAATTTCAGAATATGACACCAACATTTTAAAAATTACGAAGAAAGAAGCCCACAAAGGCACCCAAGGGTATAATCAAACCTCTTTAAAAAAAACAAAATTTGTCTCTGAATGAGTATATTATTGCTTAGCAATACTTTCAAATATTTAGATTCTATTTACTCACAGTAAAAGTTTTGAAAGGTGTAAAATTTTATTTGTATTTTTCTACTTTCTATCAAGCTTTGTACGTCCTTAACATTAATGTCAAAGACTTGGTATTTTCTGAATATAGGGTTGCATTATTTTTTTTTTTTTTTAATTGCAAGATAGTATTAGAAAACACAAGGAAAAATCAAAATGTAAATTTTTTTTTTTATTTTGATTTCTTATAAAGTTAATATGTTTGCAATAATAATAAAATGTTATTTTTTAATTATATTACGAGTATATTATTGTCAAGGGCTGAGAATGACCTGATGTATTTTAATGATGGTGGCCGAAATTATCCAAAATAATTTCGCCCACAGGAATTAGAAAATAGAAATTTTGTATTGTGATAAATAAAATGGACTCGTCGAAGTGCCATCCAAACATATGTCAGACATGTAACCTAGTCTCTCGTTATTAATATTTTTAATATTTTTATTAATTTATTTATTTCTTATAATAATTTTTAAACCAAAATTGTCTAAATGCCTAAACTATAGGTTGGTTTTAACCACGAATGTATTTTGAATATTCAAAAATGAATGAAAACATTAATTTTACTCGGCTTTTTTTTTCTTTTCATTAAATAATAAATTTTATTGTATTCATTAAGAAAAATAGTTTACATTAATTAGAGCTAACGCTAGCAATTTCAACTGCTGGTTTTTGTGATAAGAACTAAATCTAGATATCCATTGTTGGAGAGAAGGAATACTATTGTTGTTGGATTTTTTTTTGTTATAATGCTTTAATTAAATTTTATCAAAACTAAAAATCCAATTTGATTTCAAGTCAAGTTACAGAACGAACCAAATCAACAGACATTAATATCAATATATGCCCCCCATAAAATATTGGATAGAATGAAAAAAACGTATTTTTGATACATTAGAAAAATGTATTTTTGATTTTGCCTTTTCGTCAGAAATTTTCGAAAAAGGCTCTGTTTCTGGCAAAAATAATTTTGTGTAAAAAAACTATTGGCTGAACGTTTTTTGCTTGGAATGCTCAAAAACACTCAAGCAAGCACGACTTGTGAATGCATAGTTCTTTGAAATGACCACCAAGTGGACAACCCTCGCAACTAAGTGAAAATTGTTCCATACCAAAATTATTGGAAATCATCGGGTTTTTTAAAAATCATCATGTCTCTATTTTGTCTCATCTCTAAATAATACTAACTAAATTTATGGAACATTGTTAGATTGTCCGCATAGCGGATCGTATCACTATGTGATAATAATAATATTAATTATGTTGAGAAAAAAAAATAGATATATACACAGACAGACTCGATAAGTCAGCCCGCAGTAATCAATTGTTTAAAGTACTCAATAGTATAAATTATGCGGCTGACTTATCGAGTCTGTCTGTGTATACACAACCATTAATTATTTAATGATTTTTCCGACATTGTTAAATTAAATTAAACTAATTATAGTACAGTGGCGACAGTAAAAAGCCATCAAGTGATACAAGGGCGCGGCTTTTTAAATTTTATCACGTGTACAAATTTTAGCCAATAAATTTCAAGAAAATCATTGTGATACGAGCAGACTAAAGAATTTTAGCCAATAGAATTTTAAGAAAATTAATGTGACACAAATGGTTAGGTGGGAAAATATCATGCGAAATTGAGAAATTAGTAAAATTTATTTTACTATATTATTTATATTATTTAACAGGCGGCAAATTTTGAAAATTATATACATTATATACGTACGAAATATTACAAAAATGGCAAGGTTTTAAATCCTTATAACATTTGCTAGTAAGTTTAAATAAAAAATCTGGCTGCAACAAATTATTCCCTGACTTCTAAATAATCATTTGGCGCAATTATTTTTTAAAAAATTGATTATCAAAGTATGGATTGTGAAAGGGGGTTTAGTGTACAAAATTTAAATTTAATCAAATCAAAATTACGTAATTCTCTTATATAGCAGTACAAAAGCTTATTATTACGAGACTTAGTATTGAAGGATCAGAAAGCAAAGATTTTGGCTATGATAAAGCATTTATTATTTGGAATAAAAAACGTAAAAGGAAGGTGTAATCATTAAATAATATAATATTTTTAGTTGTATATATTTTAATTTTTGTTTTTGACGATTTTTTTTTTTTAAATCTAAATCGCAAAATTTAACTTTTTGCGTACGAAATGGTCACGGTCGTTACATTAGTATGTATTAATTTTAATTGGTTTATAGTAAACATGAACATAATTTATTGATTATCAATCAATATTATTATTATTATTGTCGTTCGGCTAATTATTATTATTAAAGTTTTAATTTTATCAAGATGATCAGATCAAAAAATTAATTATAAATTGTTTTAATTTTTACAAAAAAGTTTTTTTTATAATAATAATATTACAACTGAAGTCAATATCATTGATATTATTATAATAAAATGGCACTTTCTACACCAGCAGCTTATGCTCTATTTTTCATTACAGTTTTCTCATTTTTAATTATTGGATTGTATGCTGCATATAAAAATACGAAAAATAAATCCGATTTTTTATCTTCTTTAAGAACTCAAACTGCTGTACCATTAGCACTTAACTGGATAGCTTCAAGTGAGTGTGTTATTAAAAAAAATTTAAGAAAATAAAAAAAGTGGCAGCATCAATATTTGTTTATTTGGTAAGTGAAGATTTAATCATTTATTTTTAAAAAAAAGATATAAATAATAATAAATTATCTATCATTATCGTTCTTTTTGCAAAAAAAAAAAAAAAAAAACAATTTAATAAAAAAAAAAGCAGGAAAAAAAAAATGGCACTACAGGTGCTCAATATTGAGCTGAGAATTTACTGTCAATACCTGATCAGGGTAATGCCTGCGTAGGGAAGCTGCCACTTTTTTAAATATATATATATATATATATATATATATATATATATATTAAACTGCGCTGTATCTTTTTTTTTTGTTGTTGATTAAATATCCTTTAATAATAAAAATATCAATATTTATTTATTTTTTTCAATAATTAAAAAAATTTTTTTTGTGTTAATGTTTCTTCCTTAGGTCTTGGATCATCATCATTGTATGCATATCCAGAGGTAGGAGTATTAGCAGGAATATTAGGTGTATTTATGTATGCATTCGGGACTGTCGTTTCATTATTCGTGTTTACACTTTTTGGACCATACATTCGTAAAAAATGTCCTGAAGGATTCACCATAACAGAATTTGTGTTGAAAAGATTTAGTATCGTCAATCAAATTTACATTTCATTGATGTCATTGGCTATCATGTTGTGTTATATGATTAGTGAGTTGTCAGCCGTTGGTAGTATATTGTTAGAATTGGGAAATTTTGATCCTAAACTTTCAATTATTACGATCGCAGTTGTGACTTGTCTTTACACAAGTAATTATATGATATTTTTTGTTTCTATCGAATTCATTGATTATTGTTTTAATTCACTGCATATTTACTTGATTATTTTAAAGCATATGGAGGACTTCGAGTTTCAATATTTACAGATTTTATACAAGGATCAGTAATTGTCATCTTGATTATAATCGCAACAATTGGTTTTGGCGCATCAGTAAAAATTGATCAAGAGTTGAAGGACAGTAGTGATTTGCTCAAGTCAAATTCTTTGGGTTGGCAATTACTTTACATCATGCCTGTTGCTATTTCTTTTGCCAATTTATTTCATCAGGTAAATTATATATATAATTTTGGCTTGGTTGGTCAGTTGGTTTTGTGATTGATTGGTTGGATGAATCATATTATTTCATTTAATCTATCATCTACTCAATCAATTGATCTATTCATCCCATTAAAATAATAATCACCCTATCAGCAACTAATTAATCAATCAATCGATCAATTTAATTATAGGGATTTTGGCAAAGGACCTTCTCATCCAAGAATGATAAAGAATTAAGTTTATCGGTTTGGTACGGTAGTCTAATCTTATTTCCAGCATTGATCTTGATCGGATTCACCGGGATACTGGCAGTATGGGCTGGTACATTGACACCAGAAATACCTGGATATATAGCTTTCTTTACATTGTTTAGTGTTTTGCCTGATTGGGTTATTGGAATTGTGTTGGTGTTGGTGGTTTGTTTGTGCTGTTCTGCCTACGACACATTGTTGACAGCCATTGTTGCAACATCTTCAAATGATATATTTCATAATAGGTTACCATTATGGGCAATTAGATTGTTTGCTGCTGCTTTTAATATTCCTGCTGGTAAGTAATTATTACAAGTCCTTTTTGATGTTTGTTTCTAAAGTTAAATAAAAAAAAATTTTTAATTAAAACAAAATTATAAATACGTATATAGTTATACTTGGTCTATACAATCTAGATGTTCTAAGAGTGTTCCTAATTGGAGATCTAATAGCAACAGCAGCAATGCCACCAATTTTACTTGGAATTTTTGACAAATTTTATTACATTAATTCAATTGATGCAATTGCAGGTGGATTAGGAGGCTTTTTGGGGATTTTTATATTTGGTAGTATTTATTATAATAATGCAAGTGATGGTGCCAATTTGATAAATTTGCCACTGGGTCTTTATGGCGAGGATTATTCAGTCCTGGGAGCTTTTATTGTTTGTCCGCTTGCCTCTTTGTTTTTTACATTTTTGTCATGTGGTGTTCGATTAAGTATTATGAAGTTAATTGGAAGTAAACTAACGCCCGATGAAAAAAGCAAATCATCTCATGAACCTATTGAACAAAATAAATCACCTTATGAACAACCTAACCAACAAAGCAAATCACTTCATGAACAACCTGATGAACAAAAAGACTCTGACAACAGAATTCGCTAGACAAAGAAAGCTATTTATAATGGCGAGGATTTGAATTTCCTAAACGAAATTATTAATTTTAATCAATATTATTAACGATGTATTAACAAAATATATGTTTGTAATATAGTATTAGTATAAATTATTTCGTGAAAGTATAATTTTTAAAATAAAAGACTTATTTTTATTCAGACCATCAATTTCTAATCAAAATCAAATAATCTTCTTTTTTTTTGTCTTTAAAGCTTAAAACATTACTCTAAATAAGAGTATTATTGATATGTGGAAGGCTGAACCGAGTTTCGATTTCATATATTCCATGACCTGCACAGAGTCCCCATTGAAATTTGTGGTATGTTTTAGAAAGAAAGAACACCGCCTAGAAATAAAGATGAATTATTTGTTGCATTGAAAGTGGAGCGAGTAAAATTTGTTCCTAAAGAAATTAGTTGATAGTATGCCAATAAGAGAGCCGTTATTGATGATGATGGAAATCCAACTATATACTGACTGGCCTGGCCTTTGCATTAATTTTATTAATTTTGTAAAAAAAAAATATTTAATAAAAACCAATTTTGAATTAAATTAGTCTACACTTGACCTTTTTTTTTTACTTAGTAGTACAACCACACCATTCAACAGAGGTTTGAGGTTTTTTTCTAAACTACTAATTTAAAATTTTCATCCGAATTTATTAATAATACGAATCAGTGTGCAGATATAACCAAAACGTTCTTGCATTTTACTTTTTACAGACATTCTTTTCCTGTTTTTCTTTTTCTGCTATGCTTTTTTTCGTAAGCATTTTTATTTCAAGTACTGGTTTGTCAAAACTTGCAATGTATATTTTAACTATTCATTCCCTTTTCTAATGCTGCATTTTTTCACAACAAAATTTAGCAATTAATGGACCAGATGGTGAAGTTTTGATTAGGCATTCAAAGGATAAACGAATTTAGCAATTTTTTGTGAATTAAATAATAAAATAGCTAGTTTTTGTGTTTGATAAAATTATATACTAATACACATATGCATTTAAAATAAAAATCTATACGCACAAATATCTATGTATTTACAAAACGTGCATAAAATAACGTTAAGTACCAGCTATTCTCCCATAGTATTATTGAAATTATTAATATTAATGTATAAAATTACAAAATTTTCTCTTTTTAGGAATAATTTCCTTGATCGCATCACATGACTGCCGTAGTAATTTCATCAACACTAACCGGGCAATTTGATGACCAATCCAACATTTTTGGACAGTGTTGTGCAAGAAGTTTTTTAATATCCCTAGCTGTATGCTTAGGGTCGTTATCTTGTTGAAAGATCCAACGGTTTCCCATGACATTGTTTGCATTATCAAATAGATTTTCAGTTAAAATCTTTTTATATAAAGCACCACCCATGACACAGTAAAAAGAAAGACCTTATACAGAAAAGACGCTCCAGGCAAGAATTTTGTACGGATGTTTTACCATAGCCTTGTGTGGAGGTTGACTACAGATTTATAAAAATAATTTTTGAGTATTTTTGAACATTTGTAATGTAGTTTCATCGGAAAAAATGATTTTGTTCCAATTTTGTCACTGTACTTTTGGGCAAATTTTATACGACATTGTTTGTGTTTGTTGGTAAGAAGGGGCACAAATTTTGGGCAATGGAACAATATTGCAGTCTATGAGACTCATTAAGTATTACTAATATTGAGATTAGAATGATGTTTATTTAAAATATTTGCAAGTTCAGCGGAGGCAGAAAATTTATTCTTCGAAACAAGTTGACCAAGGTGACAACGTTGTTTAGGAGAAAGTTTTCTGGGTCTGCCAGAATGTTGCTTAGGGTCTAAAGAAATCCCATTACGAAGTTTTTTAATATAATCATATATCGTAGAAAGTGGAATGGAAGTTAATTTGTGCAAAGTATAGGTATCACAAGTAGTGGTTGTATCCGCCGAATGATATTCACCAATTATTCACCAATTATCCGGTTAATTGGGTATTGAAAATTTT